GATAATGGGTTCCTTTGATGGTATACGATCCTCCTTTTTAATATACTTCAAAATACAGCGTTTTCTCCCTGAATTTGCAAGAATGAATTGCGGGTTTGACGAGTTCCGTCAAGTGGCATGAACGACCAAGGCTCAGCCCGTTTAGTTTTACTTCGACACTCAGGTTAACATTATCTACGAGACGACAATCTTTCTTTGGTTCAGTTAAAGATGAGAAGAACTTTTGTCGAGACAGGAAAGGATACTAAACAAAACTTCACTTAGTGCGATAAAAGTGGCCGACGGCAATCAACTCTGAGGAGTTTAGTCAGCCTATGTTACGTAAGATGATGAAGAACAAGCGATCGTTGAATTCTCCCACATTCACAAAAGTTGGTCTCACGATTTCAATGAATTTTATCTCTTCCTAGTGCTGGTTTAACCTCTTTTTGGCAACTTGTTCGGAGACAGTCCTGCGTCATCTGCCAGAGTACTCAAGATGATCTCCACCAGCAGACCGCGGATTTGGTACACTCCCCGCTATCCAGCTCGAAGAGGCTGCAACCGAACAAAAATGTTACACCATCTTGGTCATAATAGTTCCACATTTCTAGTGTTTCGTGCAGTTCTACAAGGCTTATTTTCCTGCTCCGATAAGGTCCGCCATGAAGGTAAAGACGTGTCACCGGCATCGTAATGACAAGCATCAAGCTGTCAATCATCACTTGTCGCAAGTTGCGACCCACTGCTGAGGCTGTAACGGAGCCGAACAACGATTATCTGACAAGGCAATTTGCCATGACTACTCTGGCAGATGATTCAGAAGACGGGTTGGTTTCTTCACGGTCTCCCTGTCGGGCCGACCAACATACTCAAGCAAGGTTACACCAAATCACTACAGCCACACCATTTTGGTCCTTCTTTAATTCGGCCACAACTGCCGAGAATGAGATTTTAAGCAGCCCGTAACACATTGCAGCGGATTCCTCTTCTCAGAGGTGCATCTCTTTTGTCCTTCTATTCCATGCCCCCGTCTTTCTACATGCACCGACGGGATGCTGTTGACAACTGCGTTTCTGACACTGCCTGACAGATGCAAGGCGGAGTCTGGCTGGGCCAAACGCCTGCCGTCGCTTCGCCCATTCACCTGCCAGGATCGAGGTACAGCAACTTGACCGGCGGCCAACCAACGCAGCAGCAGCCGAATCACCATGGTGTCTACTTTCAGCAGACACGAGGAGTCGTGACCAGCGACCGGGTCGCGACCATCCGACAGGTCAGACAGGCCTCTCCAGTGCTGTCGGCGCCGGCGTGGGAAAAAAAGCAGGCGGTGATGGTGTGGTTTCACGGCGGCCTCTTCAGCACCGGCTCCAGTACACTGGAGCTCTACAACGGCGCTATTCTGGCCGGCAAGGTGAGTCAGCAAAGAGGATTTGAGCCTTCTCCGCCAGAAAAAGAGTCATAGTCACCCCAGGTCGCATATGGTTGGTGTGATCGCACTCCACATTGAAAGAGGTGTGTCTCAAGACCCAATGGAGAATTCGATATTAAGACTGTATAGAGATCAGCAGGTGTGAAAAGCTAATTGGTCGCATGGGGGTTCGCGATGAAGGCGAATGAAGAGGAGAGTAGAAAAAGAAAGGGGCAGGTAGAGCGAAACAGCCAAACGAGTTTGCTAAAGAAGTTGTTTGACCTTGTTTTCGCAACTCGGTCATGTTGGTAGGAAGACTTAAAGAAACGCACCTAG